ACGTAGCGATTGTAGAGGGGATAGAACTGACTCAAGCCATGCGCACGGGGGGCAAGTACGAGCCGCACGTGTTCGTCCGTATGTTCGACTCCGTGCTCGCGCGCCTGGATATGGAATGGCATGCACTTGGCTTTGGATTCAGGCTACACGAATCTGGCGAATTGATTTCGAATTTTAGTTGGGTGGACAACAACTTCCTTTTGGCTGCTGACGTGGGCATGTGGCGTGCCATGACAGAAGCCTTGACGACCGCCTTGGCGGACGCATTCGGGTGGAAATGGAAACAGGCATCACTGGAGATATTGAGTTGCAGCGTCGACTTGCCTTCTGACGTGGACGTCGTGTTGGAGTGCCCGTCGCAGAAACTCGCGTACAAGGTGGTCGCTCGCATGGAAGCTCTGGGGGGAGTGTTGCGTCCTGCGGATCCGACTGGGGAGCTGATCAATCACCGCTTTAGCAAGGGGGAGGCGTGCTTCTACAAGTACATGAAGGCATTCCGTGGGAAGGCGCCGGTCGGCTTAAATTTAGCCGCGTACAGCGCCATGCCGCGTGCTGCTGCCCTTTTCTTAGCCCCCATCGTTCACTGGACATCGTCGACACTGTGGGGCGCTATCAGATGGGAACGATCCCTGTTGCGCTGCATTGTTCGATTGAAGCCGAGGCCAGACGAGGGCCGGTTTGAGTTCTTACAGCGGAGCTCGCGCAGATTGGAATCTTGGATGGCCCTGACTGGTACCATGCCTATCCACATTGTGATCCTTGAAAAAGTGCACAAGCTCGTGTGGCGCGAACGCAACGTGGCGGCTACTGCGGCCAGCGTCCGCAAGGACCGGGGCGCGCAATGGTGGGAGTTCACTAAGCAGACTCCCCGGCACTGGCGCCAGGCCGCCGGCAGTACGCACAGACGCCGAGGACAGCACAGGTGTGATGATTTGATTTTGAAGGAGGTGTGGGGGCCCTGCTGGCGCGACAGGCTTGAAGCGTGCACGTGCAAGGACGCTTGGGAGAGTTCCTGCAACCATTTTGTTATGGACGTCTGCGAGGCTCTGAAGCTGCCGGTTCCACAGGCGCCCTCTGGCCTGAAGGCGCTCGCTCCTTCCCAGGAGCCTAACGCGAAGCATTGGGATATCAATTGCATTCCAGTGCCGCTTCCTTTGGCCCGGGACCATTTTGGGGGGCAGCGCGGCCCAAGGTTGCAATTGGAGTTCGTCGTTGATAATCTGGCACTGGCGGAGGTCTCGACCGGTTTAGCGAAGATAACAAATGACGTTTACCGGGCACCCTTGGATCGTATCCGCGAAAGTCTCATGGTGTTGTTTGACCGTGGATTTGATTATAAGGCCGGCTTCATGGACCCTGTGAACTGCCGCAGATCACGTGGCCAATTGCTGCTTGGCGCAAAGCTCCGACATTACACTCTTAGACCAAAAATATTTTATGGAACAACTCGGTCAAGCGGTTGGCTTGCAGGTCTTTTGTGATGGGGGCTTTACGGGACAACGAGGCTCAGCAGCAATGGTGTTGTATGCAATTATGCAGGATGGCAAACAACAGCTTGGAGCCAGAGCAGTTTACGTGGAACACGCCCTGTCAGCTTTCCACATGGAAGTCACTGCTCTAGACATGGCTGTTTCATTTTGTGCACCATGTATTCCGAACACGATTGTAGACATGTGCGTTGTTATTCCGCTTGTGTTTTCCTGCAGTATTGCTTGTAAGTACTTCTTCTTGCTGTGGAACTGCGGATAATGTAATATTACCGTTTCGCTGTTTGTAGCCTTGTAGATAGGCCATCAACCCGATGAGGGGCGATCCGCACAACAAAATTGCATGCGCGCGCTGTCACGGGGGCATTCGGTGGAGCCCCGCATGGGGCCACAGAGCCTGCGAAGGGTGTGCTGAAATCTGGGTGGAACCACCCGCGGGCGCTGCCACTGTTGCCTTCGGTGGAGCCCCCTTTATGGGGCCACGAAACGTGTGAAGGGTGCACCGAAGTAAAAGGTGGAGCCGCATGCGGGCGCTGCCACTGGGGCCAGTGTAGCTCATCATGGGGCCACGAAGCGTGTGAGGGGTGTTCCGAAACGGAGGGTGGAACTGCATGCGGGCGCTGCCAGTGGGGCCTTCGGTGTAGCTCCTTATGGGGCCACGAAGCGTGCGAAGGGTGCACCGAAATGGGGGTGGAACTTCATGCGGGCGCTGCCACTGTTGCCTTCGGTGGATCTCTTGATGGGGCCACGAAGCGCACGAGAGGTGTGCCAGAGGAGGGTGGAAGTGCACGCGGGCGCTGCCATTGGGGCCTTTGGCGCTTATGGGGCCACGAAGCGTGTGAGGGGTGCACCAACATGGCGGGTGGAACTGCACGCGGGCGCTGCCAGTGGGGCCTTCGGTGCGCCTCCCAGGAGGGGTGTGCTGGCATGGATGGTGGAACTGCATGCGGGCGCTGCCATTGGAACCCTCGGTGGAGGTCCTTACGGGGCCACGAAACGTGTGAGGAGTGTGCCGAAACGGGGGTGGAACCGCATGCGGGTGCTGTCAGTGGGGCCTTCGGTGGAGATCCCATATGGGGCCACGAAGCATGCGAGGGGTGCACAGGAATGGAGGGTGGAACTGCATGCGAGCGCTGCCATCGGGTCCTTCCGTGGAAATCCCAACGGGGCCACCAAGCGTGTGAGGGGTGTGCCAAAATAAAAAGGAAGGTGGAATGGAATTGCATGCTGGCGCTGCCATTGGGGCCGTCGATGGAGCTCCCTGCGGGGCCACGAAACGTGTGAAGGGTCCACCGGCATGGAAGGTGGAACTGCATGCTGGCGTTGCCATTGGGGCTTTCGGTGGAGCTCCCTATGGGGCCACAGCGTGCGAGGGGTGTGCTGATATGGACATGCGGGGTGCCGAAACAGACGCATGCGGAAAGTTAATGCAAGGATGGAGGAGGAGAGGAGGAGAGGTGGGAGACACGGGACGCTGTCTCTTCAAAGCGAGGGCCTGTTGGGAAACACAACAAACTTTCCATCGATTGGGGACAGGTCGCTTTTACATTGTGGTTCTCGCTTCAGCGCTGCGCGCACAAGTTTCACATGTTGCAAGAGCTCCACGGAATGAGGACAGGTGGTTTTCAAATTGTGGTTCTCGCTTTAGCGCTGCGCGCATTCGTCGTAAGTTAGCCTGGCGAAGTACCCTGCCACTGGGGCCTTCGGTTGAGCTCCCTACGGGGCCGCGCAGCGTGTGAGGGGCGTGCCAAAATTGGTACCAGGAGCGCATGCGAACCCTGCCACGGGGGCATTCGGTAGAGCTCCCTACGGGGCCACGCAACGGGGCGTGCCGAAATGGGGGGCAGGGGCGCATGCGGACGCTGCCACTGGGGTCTTCGGTTGGGCTCCCTATGGGGCCACGAGGCGCGTGAGGGGTGTGCCGGAATGGGGCGTGGAACTGCACGCGGGCGCTGCTGCTGCAGCCTTCGGTGGGGCTTCTTATGGGGCCATTGGGACACATGCGGAACTACCCATCGGGCCACGATTCGTGTGAGAATCGCGTCAAAGTGGGTGGCGTGGGCGCGTGTTGCTTCCATTGTGACATTCGGTGGGGCTCCGTATTGGGCCACGAAGCGTGTAAGGGTGTGCCGACGCTGACCCTGGGGCCTTCGGCGGGGCACCCTACGAGGCCACGAAGCGCGTGAGGGGTGCGCCAAAATGGGGGTGGAACTGCATGCGGCCCTTGCCACTGGGGCCTTCGGTGGAGCACCTTCTGGGGTCACGAAGCGTGTGATGGGTGCGCCGACATGAGGGTGGAACTGCATGTGGACCCTGCCACTGGGGCCTTCGGTGGAGCACCCGATGGGGCCACGAAGCACATAAGTGTTGCGCCGAAATGGGGGCGGAAGTGCATGCGGACCCTGCCACTGGAGCCTTTGGTGGAGCTCCCTATGGGGCCACGCAGCGTATTTGGGTTCGCCGACATGGGGGTGGAACTGCATGCAGACCCTGCCACTGGGGCCTTCGGTGGAGCACCCCATGGGGCCACGAATCGTGTGACGGGTGCGCCGAAATGGAGGTGGAACTGCATGTGCATCCTGCCTCCGAGGCCTTCGGTGGAGAACCTTATGAGGCCACGATTCGTATGATGGGTGCGCCGAAATTGGAGTGGAACTGTATGCGGACCCTGCCACTGCTGCCTTCTGTGAGATACCTTATGGGGCCACGGAACGTGCGAGTGGTGCACCGACATGGGGGTGGAAATGTATGAGGACAGGACCCTGCCACTGTGGCCTTCGATGAAGCTCCCTATGGGGCCACGGAGCGTGTGAGCGGTGCACCGAAATTGAGGTGGAATTGAATGCGCCCATGTGACGACGATGGGGGCTCTTGGGGGGGGCAGAGGCAAGTGATGCGAGGAGCGGAGAAGGCAGCGGGAGGGAGGTGACGCGGGGCGTTGTCTCTTCAAAGTTAGGACCCAACACCACAGCTTGGTTGGGGTACGTTGCAGTAATTCCACTGATTGATGATAGGTTGCTTTCGATCTGCAGTTCTTTCTTGAGCGCTGCGCACATCCGTCGAAAAGCATTGCAAAAGTTTCAGTGGTTGAGGTCGGTTCCGTTTAAACATGCGGCTCTCGCCTTAGCGCCGCATACGTTCGTTTTAAGCATATGAGGGAGTTGCGCGAATTCCCATGGTTGACGCAGTGCTAGAACTGACTAACATTTTGGAACGATTCAGAAATGCCTGGGCGCAAGGGTTACGTTGACTCCGGGTGCTGAAATCCCAGGAGCGGCGTCATGGCACGATTCAGGATCGCCAAGACGCAGCAGTCACGTTGATTCTCGCGGCGTTGAACACCCAAGAAGGGTGTCATGGCGCCGTCCATGATTGTTATATGCTTTCTGTTCCCAACGGGTCACTTCCTTCAGTGAAGATGAATCCTTGCAGGAGCCTATGGAGAGGGAGCTTGGAGGGAGGTCGCATTGGGTTTACACTGGTCCTCCGCCTTCTCCTCCCCCTATCTCGGAGGCTGCGTGGTGCGTGCCGTGTAGGGAGATGGAGTCCTACGTGAAGGGCATCAGCGACGACAGGCCAGACACGGGATGAGCAGGAGGAGGGAAGATGAGGAAGAGGGGCGAAGGAGAAGGCAGGAAGGAAGAACACGATGGACGAAGTAGGAAAGGGGGGTGGGACAACGACGGATAGGAACGAGGAGGGGGAGGAAACGTAATATCAACGATCGAGCACTGATTATTCTGATTGTGCCAAGCAGTGGGGCCTCTTCATGGTCGCTCGTCGCCATGTCCGAGTTCTCTCCGGATTCTGCATAGACCGCGTTCCAGGACGGGCCCGCGGGTTTATTTTAGGGAGGAGGAAGAGGAGGATTCGCTGGACTCGCACTGCAGCAACTACGGAGGGTTATGCCCCCGAGTATTTGGACGGCCGCAACACGAGGCGCCATGGCACAGCAGCCGCACTAGACAGCACAATCTCGGTGTCTCCCTGTTGAGGCGCCCATATGGCTGGTACTGCCCGCTCCTGCGGCAGCGCAGCGCTGGCACGCTCCGGCCGGTGGTCCAGCGGCGTCGCAAAGCGCCATTAGTTCGAATCATTAATTTGACACTGATCGGATCCGACAAGTAGTCGAAAAACAAAGTTTCGCGCCCGGAGTGGTCTGCTAGGCAGGCTTTTGGCCCAGCCCACTCGCTGGAAGACCGCGCGCATAGCGACACATCCTGGGCCAGATGCAGACTGTGCAGCCACGGGGCGATCTCCACAGCTAGTTCTCTATCGCTGCAATCTGGTCGGTTCGAGGCGTGATTATCCATGGCAGCCTCTCGAGCATCTGTGTGCGAGTTCCCTACTCCCCATCATGATTCCGCTTGCATTCTCCATCGACTGGTCCATCATGTGTTGCGTCAACCACGTCGACGATGGCCACCAGGGCGCGCCACTCGGCGCATATCAAGGGCGCGCAACTTCGCACCAGGCACCGCGGCCATCCACCGGTACAGTCGGGGCGCTGAGGAAGGAACCCTTTCCGTTGGGGAGGGGCTCGGTGTTCCTTAGTTGTTTTGCAGTTCGCCTTTGGTTTTGCTTAGGGTTCCGATGGGAAATCGAAGTTTTGCTTATGGGAAAAAGGGGCCTCGTTCCTTATTTAGGGTTCCTTAGGTCAACGCCCCGACTGTGCTCCTGGCCCCACCGATGAGCAGCACTCCTAGCCGTGCCCAGAGGCCCTTGGCTGGCCCCCTTCCCGTCATCTCAGGAGCGAAAGAAGGACGTACATGTACATGAATCCACGCTGGTTTCGAGAGCACGCATTGCACAAATGCTCGTATAACGCGGCCGGTCTCGCGAATCGAGGGGCCGTGTTCATGTACATAGCTGGGCGCGTACGTCCTTTGTGGGCTCCCTATCATCGGCACTCCCATGTTGGACGGAAGGCCTCGCGTGGAAGAGCCCGGGCTGGCGGCTGTCCTAGGAGCGGAAGGGAGGCGAAGAGGAGTCGGGGTAAGGAGAAGCCGGGCTTCGCCCAGGTGACCAGGTTAGCGTCCAGATCTTATTTTGACATTTGTGGTGATAGATATAAGTGCCGTGCGCGGTGACGGTTCCAGATTCGTCGCAGCGCCCGCTTCCACCACGGCGGCCTGAAATTCATATGACCGACCTTGGAGAAACATCGCCAGGCCGTAAACAGCCGAGCGCGTACGCCTCGACACGCCTCCAGCAGAAATTATCCGGACGAAAGACCCAACCATATGCAGTTGTGAATGCCGCGTTGTGGACACCGCTTTCGGTGGAGCTCCTTAGTGCGTATTATGAGGTCCCTGTGTGTGCCATGGGCAATCCTGGGTGATTGAAACAATACGCCGCATAAAATCCAGAACTCATTTGGGTTGAGAGCACTGACTGAAGAGACAGCTGTTAATATTAGCAGAATGCACAGTCACAGGTACGACAGGTCGTGGGCGCCTGATCGATTATGGCATCGTCTCGAAGGATTTCAAACCCTTCGTGAAGGACTTCAGGATACTACGACATGCACCACGGAGCCCGCATTGTGGTTTGCACCTCACCTTGCATTCTGGGCCGGCTCCCATCAAGGTCCAGATACCAATTCTATTAGTGAAGATGGAGATACCACATGTGACGGTGCAGGAACAGGAAGGCATTAAGAGAGCCCAGCGTGACAGAGAGAGAGATACCAGAAGCTGATGTGTGACAGAGGTGACCAGACGGAGGAAGCAGCTCAGCAACAAAAATCTGCATCATGGCCAGTATGCCAATCTATTGGACCATTGGAGTAGGTGAAGGAGTCGTGGGTATACAGGTTAGACCCAGAAGGATCTTGTGCGCTGGCGAAACATTTTGGAGAGTGGACGATGGCAGCAGAGCAATCCCTGAGCGTGCTGGCAAGATACGCGCCGAAAGAAAGAGTGAGAAGGGGTGGCACGACTAAGTTTGCCATGATGCGTTCAGGAGAAGTCAGACCCATTAATCGATGCAGTTCTGATGAAAAGGTCAAAACATGGGAGGCATTTGTAGCCAGACTGAGAGAGATGGCGGTGTTGCAAGCACGAGGCAACAAGAGCGAGAGCTGCATGGCGGTGTCCGAAGCAGTGAGCAAGCTTAAGCAGAGGATCGCGGCGGTCGACGCGTCAGAGGGAAAGAGAAAGGACATGCGCAAGGATCAGGAGGACGACGGCACCGTGATGGACATGCTGGAGGCGTACCTCATGCGGAGACCCGTTACTAGGATAATAGCACCCATGGCCAGGGAAGTGCATTCCCCTAGGGGGTGCGGGACGGCAGAAGAGTTCCCGCTGCCCCGCTACAGCTCGCCATGGACCAGAGTGGTGGCTCCCGCTACTGCGAGGACCTTGTCGACGCTGCCGTTCTGCCACCCGTCGTCGAAACCTACTTCGCCAGTGGGCTCCGGCAGCCTGGGGCGCCCTGGTGGATCGCGGGGAGACGGCATGGCGAGCACCTCCTCGGGAATGCGGCGAGACCCACATCGCCTTCGACATCTGGAGCCTCGTCGCAAGATCCGCCTGATGGGAGCCCAGGCCCGTGGTCAAAGTCGCCAGCCCGTTCTGCTGGATGCTCAAGTGGAGCCTCGTCGCAGGGTCCGCCCCATAGGAACCCAGGCCCACGGTCAAAGTCGCCACGTTGGTTTGCTGGAAAAAAGGACAACCCACGTAATGACAGGGCAGGTGGTCATGCTACTGACTGCCTTGCTGGTGTTAACGTGGACAGCCCGAACTCCAGTGACAGAAGTGGCGACGAGGTGTACCTTGCCGAAGGCGGCAGCGAAACCAGGGTAGAAGAGTCCGCTGACGAGCGGAGAGCACCCACATCTGGTTCCCTCACGCCAGGACCGCCGACGGGAGGTGCGGGCCGAAGCCTCGATGTTGGAGGCGGAGCGGCTGCCGCAAACGCTCGCAAACTGGCCAACGGGCAGAGTGAACACACTGAATGGTACTATTGATGTATTAAGCCAGCGCGATGAGGGGGGCCGCCAGTAGAGACGGAGAGGCGACCGACGCCAGCACTGACCACCATTGCAGACGTCACGGCAGCGGTATATCTGAGACCGGCTCGGCATCCACAACTGGCACGGCAGGGGGCGCGAGCACAGGTGCGTACCTGGGCCAAGGAAGTCTCATATAGATCAGTGAACACAGTTCACCGGCATCCGGCAGAAGAGGACGAAATCGAGTTGAGCGATGGTTGCCTCGACCCAGACACAGGCAACTGGGAGATGGACCCACGGAGAGGCGTTCAGCTACGACGGCGTGAATGGGGGAAACGGTGGGAGGCTCTCGCGCATTTTGCAGATGATGAGCTGCGCAAGCCGCGCGTGCGCCACGAAGGAAAGCAGTCGAATCCCTGCGAGAGCGTCCGACCCACACCGCGAGGAGCTTGCAGATGGCCCTTGTCCGTTTGCAGGCGAAGACGGGATCAGAAGCTGGCCAATGGCCCCTAGGACAGCCCGGGGCGCTGAGCCTGCAGTGCAAGGACACGCTGCTCAACAGAATCACCATGCACAAGACATGCTTGGCATGGCCCCACCACTAGTTGCAGATGCGGCACGCCGGCCCCCCGAAAGCCGTTAAGCAGACAGCAAGGGAGGAACGGCCGATTGGGTTAATGCCGATGCCGATGCGAGTCTGGGGCACGATGACTAAACGCAATCTCACGGAGTGGTGCGACAGGGATGCAGGGGTGCCGCAGTTCAGAACACATCGGCGATATAGTCAGTCCTCGACCCGATGGTCCAAGATGAATGGGGAACCAATCTAGCCGAAGCCAGCCAGGCGTCTTTTTTCCAGGACCTCGAGAAATGCGATGATCTGGTGGACTTGGGCATTCCGTCAGATAGAGCAACAAAGGTCGACTTCCCTCCTGTGGAGTTGCACATGTGTGTTGCGTCGTCCCTGAGCCCGAGGCTGACCAAGGTTAACAATGCATATATGTACAAGAACATACCGACATCATCACCCTTGACATCGGCACGGGACCTTGATATGGGAAGGCCAACCATAGAGCCAGGGACCTCCTATATCATGTGCTCGACCAGGTGCAACGAGACGTCCTGCTCGCTAGATTGCGCCAGTCTGTGGATGACATTTCGATTCGAGTCGAAGGGCTATGTGAGGTAGTAGGTCCTGCGACGGCGAAGGCAGCAATCATGCTAGTAGAAGGATGCGTGTAAAGGCCCGACTGAACATGCCAAGCAAGTCCACCATCTTGGCCCTGAGCCCCAGGGGCACCATCCAGGCAGGAGAGACCCTCCAGGAGATCGGGATCACCATCAAGAAGGGGGCGGCGACGAAAGACCTGAGGACCGACAGCGCCATGGGTCGACCCCCCCCGAAGGCCGGGGGCGGAAGGCCGACGGCGCGCGCGGCCCGCGTGGGAAGGGGGGGGGGGGGCTGAGCAGGAAGGAGGAACGATGAGGAGGAAGAGGAGGAGGAGGAGGAGGAGGAGGGGAGGAAGAGGGGGGGGAAGAGGAGGAAGAGGGGCGGGGTAGGACGGGGGGGAAGGCAAGCGAAGCCGGGAGAAAGGCCAAGCGAAAGGCCAAGCGAAA